ACAGCGCAGAACCACACAGCCGCTGCATCACCCGCCCTGCTTCCTGCAGACGAATGCACGCATCCACCTTCAGCACACCAGCACCCGAGACGAAACCTCAGCTTTTAAAAGATGAACAGGGGAGATGAATGGGGGTAAATATTAATGAAAATTATTCTTAGCCAACAGTCAGGAAAGACACTTAACTGCAATGTACCAAAAAATCAATAGCAATTTATTCTCTCCTTGGGCTCCGAACAGAGTGAGTAAATAATACTGCCCCCCCCCTCCCTGCCCTGGGAGCACTCCGGCGTCTCGATGCTCGGACCGTCTCCGGACTCCGGAAACATGCTACGGTCCCGGTGAATTTGCTGCCACCCCCGAGTTCAGGAAACCACACCAACAGCAACCGTCCCTCAGTGCCTCGCGGTTCTGGCGTCCGCCTCTGACAGAAGGTCCACAAAACGACCGCAGGTGCACCGGAGGCGGGACGATTCAGCTGGAACCGTCAGGCCAGCTGTTCCTGATCCCGGCCCTGGCGACCTCCCGTGACCCCATCTGCTCCGGCGTGCGCGCTGCTTGTCACTCAGACCGACCTCATCCTCAAAGAGGCGACCAGCATGCTCACGGGCTCTGAGTAACCACACCAGGCAGGCACACACACCACAATGCCTTTCCTCTCTCTATAAGCGGTTGCCGTGTGACAGCTATTGATTTAGAACCATTACACACAATTTTTCTACTGTGAATCATATAGGCGTTCCAGATTTTGATATCGGTGAGTGACGGCCACCATTAGTCAGAATAGTGCACAGACTTCACTGGGCTGACACAACGTTAAACGAAAAAAGCCCCCCCCCCCCCCAACAGTGTTTCTCAGAATGACTGCTGGCAGACAGTCCGTCTTATTTCATCAAAACTGTCATGTTATTTCCCCAGGCAAACTGGCCCCTTAGCTGGTACTTTATTTTTATTCATAAGCGAACTTAGTGAGTCAGTCTCCTTATCATTTCCTATTAAGTAACACATTCCTGGGCAAATTGATATGATGCCCCTGTGCTGCACTAATAGCGCTGCGACAGCAGTGTCAGCGGCCTCACTCAATATGCTATAATGATAAGACGTATTATAAGCATATATATATATATACATATATATATTTCACAGCTATGCAATGGGGGGGCGGGCCACTGTCAGTCCCAGGAGGATAAATCATTCAACTACACGCCTTCTCCTTAATTTTCTTCAAGCTGATTCTCATGCCCACTAGTCATTCATATGCATGTGTGTTCCTTATTTTCTTCCCCCGGACATAAAAACATTTGGGACAGCCCCGGTCTCCAGAGCTTCCCCCCCACGCCGCCCGTGATGCCTGGAGTCACGCCGGCTATCAAGCAACATACATCCAAACACCCTCCAGTCATTTCAATGCCCCTGATTGCAAACACCGCATATCATTAAGTACTCTCCAGTATTTCTCAAACATTTTTTCTATGTCTATTTTTCTATGTTTATTTTTATTTGGGAGACAAATTAGAACTTGACCATAGCAAGCCAAATTCTAAACCAACAAGTAACCAATTACACACCAAAATAATTGCCAAATAGTATATTTACAAAAATCAATGATAGATGATGAACTTGCATAACAAAAACACTGTTTCAGGACTTTCCATGCTACTCCTGGAGATAATTTAGGACTATGGTATTACACATTGTTTTTATGCATGACTTTTAGCCATGCAGCATGGCGGTAGGCATCACAGCACATGTTCTGTGTCTGCTTGCCCTCCAATCACATTGGCTGAGCTGCGCAGTATCTGTTGGATCTGTAGGTCAATCATTACTTTTACAAACGTGAGCAACAATAGAGCACTAGAGTCTGTTCCATTTGGACTCGGAAGGTGGAATTTCTGAGTTCCTACACTGTCAGAAAAAAATTATACCAAATTGTACCTCTGCTTGTCACTGGGGCTGTACCCTCAATGGTCTGCCAGTTGTTCCCTTAGCTGTATGTAAACGTACTTTTTAAGGTACAGCAATAGACTGTGAGAATTTTTTTTGTACCATTGCGGGTACATTAACGTTGTTTGTACCTTGGGGAGTCCATTTCTGTACCTTTTAAGGTACAGAATTGTAACGGTAAAGCCCCAGTGACAAGCAAAGATACAAACTGGTACCTTTTTCCCAAGAGTTTAGTCAGAAATTTCAACTGGAACACCCCCTAAAGTTGGAGTTCAGACTCAGATAGTAGGGAACCTCTACAATCTCAAACAGAATTCAAGATGGCTGCACCAACAGAAGTGAAAGCTGTAGTTGTATACTGTTTATCAGCACTTATGTATTATTTGTGTCTCATTAAATCATCGTACAGTATTGTTCAACTGCTATCTGTGGACTTGTTGCTACAGTGTTTGTTAAGCACAAAATACCACATAATGCATTGTTATCAATGGATATTGCTAACAATGGCTAACAATGTAGCTGGCTAGAACTGGTACTGCCAAATCGCTTTCCAACTTATGGTACTGGAACATGGTTAACTTAGGTGTGGCGTCATTCCCAGCTGCAACGTCCAACCTCTGAGGTAAACAGAACGCAGCGTGTGAAAAGCAGACGTGACGTCATGCAGAAATTGCTGCTGCTCGACATTGAGAACACAGGTTGATAAAGTTGCGAGTAGGGCTGTCACGATTACTTGATTAAATGGAATTACTCGATTATTAAAAAGCGTTGATTAAATTTTTCTTCTCAATTATTTGGCAATGTGGGCGCATAGCGGATGAGGGTACAAATGAAGAGCGAAAGTATCAGTTCTGTGGAAGCACTTGACATTAAAAGTGAATGAAAATGCAGTCATCTGTCAGTATTGCACAGCAGGACTTAAATATCACCACAGCAGGACTGCAATGCAAATACACCTTAAAAGACATCTGACAGGAAGTCTGGTTTGATGGATCTACCCCAATAACGTGAGATTTACCATACATATGTGCCAATTGGCCTCTCAGAGTAACCAAGCCTGACTGTCATCATATGGTGACTTAAGTTATTTTTCTTAATTTACTTTGTATGACTCCTGTACGTCAACAAAATATGGGTTAGCCAAGTCGCTAAGCTGCATCATCTTACATAATATGGTATACAATAATAATAATCATTAAGTTAACATATTTTGTGTTTTAGGGCTGAATGATATCGGCAAAAGCTCACGTTTCGATATTTGAAGTTTTTGCAATATTTAGGAGTTTAAAATGAACTATACAGCCAAATATAACTAATCTGCCAACAGTCTGTCAATATCGTCTCTATGGAATACAAAATATTTCCACAGAGTGTCAGACGAATATCTTTTTGTGACCGGTGGCCTGTCCTACGAAGCGGGGTCACTGGTTTATCGGGGTAACCCGCTTCATAGTACGGGCCACAGTTCTTGTTCACTTCACTCATTTTTGTTTAATTTCTCCCAAATGTACCACACTGTCTATGGGTGTGTTCAACAGCAAGGATGCGAATGATTACGTTTGTCTTGGAGTGTGCATACAGAGCTTATGCAAAAACGGTTCATTAAAGGAACTGTCATTAAAATTGCTGAGCTTGCTAAGTTTGGTTTCCCAAGACTAAGTAAAAATGTTTAATACAAATTATTGATGGTTTGAACGCAGCATAATATCGCGGTTCTTGCAATGTGACAAATGCATGTGCATGAAATACCATATGCTATTAACATTGCAAATCGTGCAGTGGCGCACTGGGTAGCGCTGTCGCCGCACTGTGTGCGTGTAGTTCGCATGTTCACTCTGCCTATGCGTCTTTTCGCCACTTCCGCCGATTCCCTTATACTTGTTCAAAAACATCAAACTTAAATGAACTAGGGTGCCTAATAAACTGACCGCATGTGTGCCAGAGTGTGCACATTGGTTCAATTAGAATTAGGTGATCAGTGATCAGTGGTCATTGTTAAAACACCACAGCACACAGCGCGCAACAACGAAATGTGTCCTCTGCATTTAACCCATATGTGACTTTCGTGACATAGCAGGGGGCAGCTAATTCAGCGCCCGGGGAGCAGTGCTTGGGGACGGTACCTTGCTCAGGGTACCTCAGTGGTGCCTTGCTGGTGTGAGATTCGAACCTACAATCTTCCGATTACAAGTGCGCTTCCCTAACCATGAAGCCACCACCGCCATTGCCTCACACTAACCGCATTATATTAATATCACATAACATTTTATATAAACTATGACTCGGTAAATCGTCAGATTAATATATAATCAATTATTGATATAATCGATAGTAACAGCCCTAGTAGCGTGAGGTCGCCAAATGTGTCGCTGGATAAGATTTTTAGTCCCTAAAAAGGTCAAAAAGTTGCTAAATTGGTAACACTGCTTCCCTCAAATCACATTACAAAAACGGGATTTCAAGAAAGCAGCGTCGACGTTGCACACTGCTGCACTGCAATCACAAGAGGGCCTGTAAGCGTCTCCTGACCCTTAAGACGGGGCCCCCCTGCTGTCGGGTGGGAGAAGCGTTAAACAGTCAGCACCGGTGAGTCTCTAATCCAGAGGTCACCGTGCGAGTGTCTGGGCTACAGCCAATTAGGAAACAAATATAAAAAAATATGCTTTTTTATCAAATATTTTTCTTATTACCTCTTCACATTTCCTCCTAAGTAATCAATCTATATACGCAAGAAGAAAGCTCCTTTTACTAAAGGGCAACGAGGCTTTAAATAGGCTACCTGCAGCTTTCGCTTTATGCACTCAGTGAGCAGTTGAATTTTGCGCTGCGTATTCATTGCGGTCTTTGTAGGGATTTTGCACACAGTCGCAGTGATTAATCTTGGTGTATTATTGATATTAGGTGTCAAAATGTAACAATACACGCCAAATGTAACGCAGTAGCTGTACTCAATGTCAAAAGTTGTTCCCCCATTAAAGTGGCACGGGACACGTGACAACTCACTTAAATTGTTCAAAATACAGCACCTAAGCTACTACGTCAAATTGGTCACATACCTATCATGTTGACGATTTCGGGGTATAGATTCTTGTACCGTCATGAGGATTTTTGCCTCTTCTGTCCCTCTTTAGGCTGTGATCATAATAACAAACCTCGCACGCCGTATTCTTGGGGAACCGCGATGGTCTCTGGGAAATGAAGTTCGGTGACTGTCAACTTCTGAATACCGGCATAATCATTCTGCACATTAGATTGTGGCTATTCTTATGTACTTGTGTAACGCGGAACAACAATAATTTGTTATCATTTTGCGTTAAAAACAGGCACAAAAGGATAGTTTATCTAAGATGGATAGAAACATTTCTTTACGTCATGCCGGAAGTAGACACTTTCGACTCCGCTATTGTGTTTAGGAGGATCTAGGGGCATGCTTTAATGTTTTGATTGAATACATATTGTTGATTCCTGACGTATTGAATGTACCGCTAATATAAATAAAAAGAAGCACTGCAAGTGCGAATCGGTTAAAGAAAATAAAAATAAATCGGCCATAGCTAATCAATAGAGACAATTGTGTAAAACCAGAAGGAATCTTTGGGAACAGCGATTGAACCACGGGACAAATGATGACGAGTACAACTGCAAATAGAGTAAGACATTATTTCCCCTATATATAACATTTCATATATGTTAGATTTGATTTCGTATATATAGTCTTTTCATTCGAATAGAAAAATCGCCCTCTATCATTACAATTTGCAAGCTAGCGCAATTCATTTCTATTTTAGGCAAGGTTAATAATATTTTTAGGGTAGACTTAAATGTGCTTTAGTTATTTGTATGTTACTAAAAGGCTTCATTTGCAAATAAACATTTCTGGCCGCACTACCCACCTCTATTCTTTATAGAGGCAGCGTTCATGTCTAATAGTAACCTGTATCACTGTGACATTCTTCTGCTCCCAGCTTCTTACCTGTACGACATAACGACTCTTCTCGTCGCACCATTTACACCGGTGTTTGCTCGCAACGTTTATTTTTTTTAAAAGATGGCGGCGATACAATCACATTTTAAGAATAATAGATGAATGAGCGTATTGGTATGTAATTAATTTTCATAAGTTATCAGGCGTAACGTATAGCCTACTACAAAGGCCTATGCCTAGAAAATCGATTTTATTTATGAAAATTGCAAACTCATTAATCAGAAAAAGGCGAGTGATTTATAACTCTGGACGTATACTGAAGCCTTTCTATCAGCTCTATCTGTAGGTAATTGATATTTATCAGTATTACAGATCGAGCAGTCAAGTGCATTTTAATGTAATAATTTTAATAATTTTTAATAAAAAGGAATAATACAATTCTACAAAAAGGCGAAGCCCTTGACAAAGAAGGATAAACGGTGCAATTCAGGCTGACTTCAGGCAAACTATAATTTAACCTGATTAGTTGTGTGGATATGAATAGGCTACATCCAAGGGAAACAAATATTCTGAGATGTTCCATCTGGTAGCCTAATTTTTTTAAATAAATTTATATTCACGTTCATAATTTCTGCCACTGTAATATTTGATTCACTTCTCATTATACCACCTCGCAGTCACATTATTTGAAATGACAAATTGAATGAGATTGCAACACCAATTAACCATATTGGTAATATACTGACATATACGTACCGCACATGTTAAACTGGAGTTGCAAAGTAAAACTGAAATAACATTTAACAGTGCAACGCCTGGATAATAGGGGTAAGGGTTGAACCCAAATAGAACGTTTTATTTTCTGTTGCAGTGTAAACTCAAACATTTTGTGTAGAATTTCCTTCACTCTAGGGCAGAAAGTCATGACTACACGCTGTGCTGACAGTACCGGGTAAAAGCTTTTCATTAACTTCAGATGAAGAGTTGTACAAACCCTGGCTGACACACTGTTTCGGAAAAATAAAATATGACGTCTTCGTTTAGTGACGTCATCTACAAGAGGCATCTCGTAACCGTATCAAGGTGCTCCCAGGGACTCCGGAGTGACGCGGCAGGCAGACACCTCTGATTGTCCCATGGGCCAGCCTCCTGCTTCCTTAATAAGCCGTCATATTAAAACCCATCAACAACTGACAGTTTTTCCGCAGCTATCTACCACGCCTTCCAAATACCACTGTGTTTTCTATATATTAACTATTTTTTAATATTTTTTTTCCCTTTAGTATTCCCTTTAGTATTTTTAAGTAGAAAAAAGCAGTAAAATAAAAAAAATCCTTCCTAACTCTATTTCACTTTTTGTAAATAAGGTCTTTTCAGAGCAAGGTGTTGCAATGCCCAGTTAAAAGAAATATTGTGCCTTTTTCTTTTTGTAGCAGACATCTGTGTATATGCTTACATGTAGGGTGGAGATAAAATCTTTCAGAAACGTGACTGTATACTGAAAAAGCGTTTAAAAGATGCATGAATGATTTTTTTATTGTTATCGTGAAATTAGCTGCTCTGTGCTAATTCACGTATCCGTCTGAGTACTGTAAAGTCTAAATTTTGTTAATGTGCTTCTAGGGTTAATGTAGAGCACGCAGGAACCGGACCTCATCCCGACCTATACTTCATACACATTTGAAAATGCACTGCAGCCTCCTCCCTTGTGAGGCAGTGCAGTGTGGCGCTGTTTGTGCACTTATTAAACGTGCAGACCTGCTAAAACCTGGGGACCGGTAAATGATGTAAACTTCATTAATATTCAAATTGAAAATGCATCAATGTAATGTTTTCTGCATCTCTTCAAATGTGATGTGGCACATTACAGGCAAGCTTGCACGGTGAAGTGATTGACTAAACACGATTCAATTTGCATATTAATGAGCAAGATGACAGATTATAATATTTGGCCTTTCTTTCCCCCTTTGCCTTTAGGGAGCAACTATACTTTCAGACATTTATTTTGAAGAATGGATAATGGTTTTGAAAAAAATTGAACAGATAACCTATAGAACAAAGAAACTTAATTCAATCTTATAATTATCAACTCTTGAGTGACTTTTTTTCTTGCCATCTGATGGGAATAGAAGCTGTATGTGTGTCCTGCACTTGTGCTGAGGGTGCTTGTGAGGGCTTGTGAGTGATTGTGAGGGCTTGTGAGTGATTGTGAGGGCTTGTGAGTGATTGCATTCCTTTAAAGTGCACGAGACCACAGGTACTGGCGCGCACCCTTCTAAAGTGTCAGTCTGACTGCAAAGTGCTCTTTTCGTCACGCCTGTGTCACCACAGCTTCTCCGCTTGCGGGCTCCTCTCCGCCCTGCTGTCAGCCTTGCTCTGTTTTGATGGCTGCGGTACAGTCTCTTTGATGCAACAAAGCTCTTGTGAAAATATGGTAGAGTTCCCCTTTTAATTTCAATTTGTTTGGCCCACGTCAACTGGAGTTGCCTTTTTGAATAAAATTCAGTTATTACTTTAGGCATCTTGCTTGTATTTTAAGTAACCCCCCCCCCCCCCCCCCCCCCCCCGTCCAATCATTAGAAAAGGTTATTGCTCTTAGGTGACAGTAAAAGGTATTGGCATTTAAAATTTTACATTTCCTCCCTATGATTTTGTACGCTTTCAGCTACTATGAAATTATGTGGGAAGACTTGGTTGTTGGACCGGGCCTAATAAGAGGACTATCCTGTTACTTCCTGCTAAGGCTTCACACGCTTAGCAGGGGGTCCACTTAGCTGGAAGTTTCTCTGAAGTTAATCTTGCCATACTTCCGTCGACTCACTTCATAGTGCTCCATGACTCCTGTATGTTTTAAAAAAAAAAGCTTCCTTTGGGAAAGGAGATGTCATCAGCTTAGAACAGAGGTGCAAGAAGAGAGATGAGAGCTCATGATGGCTAGGGGCGTATCAGGCTGGATGCTAGAGAAATGGGAAGATGAAAGCTGACAGGTAGAGGAGAAAAGAGTGTATCAATAGGTCAAGCGGCTGGGGCGTAGTACCCAGGTGACGCAGGGGGGCGGGGGCGCCGATCTGAGGAGATCTGTTATTAGCTGCTGAGGTCTGGCTCGGCAGAAGTGGTGCTCTCTGGACTGTCAGGCCGGTCAGGAGATGGAGTCACGTGGTGCTTTTCCACTGACACCAGGAACCGAGCCGTACCCAAGCCGTACCTGGAAGAGACGGTTTTCCACTGTAAATTAAGCAAACCATACCCACACTGACATGGCGCTGCTTACTATCATGACCAAACAGAGCTGCTTGCATCACCAGTCTCCGACTGATCAAAATGTAGGGAGATAACAAAGATTCTCCAAATACATAAATAGATAGATAAAGTTAAAGAAAGAAAAAAAATAAGATGGTGATTCTCGCAGACTTGCTAGTGGAAATTACCACATAGTAAATCATGACGTACACCATGTGAATAGTGCAGCATCTTTTCGGTTTAGCATCACTATAGCTCTCCAAACCCGAACGCCTTTACTGAGCTGATCCTTCTGCAGTGGGAAACCAAAGTGGACTGGAACTGCACTGTAACTAGTCTCTCTTTGCTGTACAGTTTGGTGACTGAATGCCAGTGCAAAAACGCCAATGTTGAGGGGCCTCTGCTTGTTTAGTGTCTGTTAAGCATCACACCATCTATGTCCTTTAGTCCAGGTCATAGCTCGATTAATTTCATTACTTGGGCTGCACTGCCACTTAATTGGCTAATTCCATCTCTCATCTGGGAATCTGTGTGAGATGGTTAACGGAGGGGGGATGGGGGGGGGGGCGTGACCTATATTCTCCAGTCAGATGAAACCTGTTACAGGCCACATTTTTGTTTTACTTTGCACAGATCTGCCTCCGGGAAGAAGTGTACCTAGTGTTCAGTAGACTGCTGTGTTCAGAGTTCATAATTATGGGACATGGTTGAAGATCACAAAATATTCTCCCTCCCTTGTAAAAAACCGTTACCGGAAAAAATGTTCTTCTTTTGATTAATTGATGGAATGAATCCCGCAGGATAATGGTCTTAAAGCCCATTCTGCAGTTTTCATAACCCCTACCCAAATGCCGAGCTGGCACACACTGGCATGCTCCATGCCTGCAATTTAAACACGTGGCGGGGAGGCGGGGGTGCTGACTGCAGGGGGAGAACGTGCAAACTCCACATGCACAGAGCCAGGTGTGACAGTTGGAGGGCACACTGCTACCCACTGCATCCCCACTGCATCCCCACTGCATCCCCACACCATGCCAGTGGCTGCACATTAGTTAAATACAGGTGTGTGCGCTGGAAGGGTGTGGTGGTTAGCAGAATGCCATACGTTATTTATTAACCGCTCCAGGAATATCGATCCGATGTCCTCGGCCGGCTTCCTCCCAGCGTTGGTGACAAGGCAGACCGATAGCGCATCCGCCTTTTCTCATTGTCACCTTTCTGTCCGGCATAGGAAATGAAAGTGGAGCCAGATTTCGGGAGCATGTCACCGGCGGAGGAGCTGCTCCTGCTGAGAACGCGAGTTCGGGAGCTGGAGAGGGAGAAGGCCCAGGTGGACGCGGAGAATCGACGGCTGAAAGACCTGTTGGTGAACGGTGAGGACCACTGGTGACCTCCCCCCCCTCCACTAGCTCTACTTCTTGTTAGCTGTCTGTGAGATGCTCTTGCTCATTGAGCTGCCGGTCTTGGTTTTACCTCTCTAGAGATTCCATCTCTCCTGTCTGCCATGAGGCAGAATGTCGGTGTTGGGGGCAGAGAGAGTGATCCTGAAGTCTTCCAGGGGCTCTCGCCCTGCGCAGAACGGCTGGATTGCGCCGGGTTCCCCCCGTCGATGCCAGCCGACGCCGGGTTCGGACAGGCCGAGGACGTGGACGGCTTTATGCAAACTGTCTCTGACGCCCAGGTGGCATTGGTCAGTGGTGGTTTCCCTGCAAGCATTGAGGACAGCGGGCCGCACTGTGCCCTCCCTGTAGAGGACAGTCCCAGCTGTCCCAGCCCGGCCTGTAGCTCGCCTGACTTCGGCCCAATCAGAGACTGCACGGAGATGGAGCATGTGCACACGTCGGGGCACCTTAGCAGCCATGTAAGCCCATCGTTGCACCTCCACTGACAGGGAAGGAGAGAAGCAGAGCCGCTTGTGTCCACCCACAGCTCATTTTACCCACTCTCAGCACTGGCTGTTGTCACTTAACCTCAGTCTCAGTTGTTGTTCTGTCTCTGTGTGTCAATCGTCTGAGGACTTCCATTCGGAGGTGCTGGCGTGTGTGTGGGTGTCGGGCTGATCTCCTGAAGGTGTCCCTCCATGTTCTCCCTATTCACACAGCCCATGCTCTCCTTAAGCAGCATCATGCCTCTCACTCTCTCTCCCTCTCTTCTCACGTCCGGTCGGCGGTTCCCCAGGCGCGCCCGGTTGAGGTGTATCCAGGTTCCGGAGTGTTCTGTGAGGCGCAGGCCTGGACCTCCGCCATCCAGGCCCAGTCTCCCACGGCCATGGTGCGGATGCTGCTGCTGGGCGTCTTTGACACAGACACCCTATTGCACAGCAACCTGAGGGGAGGGCGGAGCCGGAGGCCCATGTTCCCCAACCACCGGGTGGGCCTGGATCCCCACAAACTGGAGGCGATTTACAGTAAACCTTTATTCCTGTATCTGTGGGTTATCCGTGTTCCTGACCACATGATCAGCACCATCAGGCATTAAAGAGATCAGCTATCATGCTCACTGACTCCACTGAAAACGCTTATATCCTGTTTTAGTTGATGCTAAGCAGGTATTTATTCATGTACAGTTTATAGTTTTAAGGTACCCTTTGAAGCTTTCTTAAGGTTCTTCTAATTTGTGTGGTGTAATGCATGTACTGCCATTTATTCCAGGATGAATGATAATGGACAGGACCAGAATGAATGTTGAGGAGGTGAATACCCCGGTAGGGGCAGTACCTCAACAATAATTCATTCACATTCATCCTCATTTCCGTAAATGATTTGACAGCACTGGCAGCCTTGGGGGGGGGGGTTAGAAAAAAAATTGTACTCACTCCCACTCACTGCATGTCTCCTCCACCAACTGTTGTTGTGACGGTTCTTCCAGATGCCACCCTGGCGAGGTTCCCACTGGCACGGAAGGGGCAGATAGGCACCGGGATCAACTCCAAGCTGTCGGAGATGAGATTCCGATCCAGGAGAGCCAATCAGGAGAGGAGATATTTGTGAGCGCTTAAGTGTAGTGGAGCATGAGTAGAGCCCACCATAAGGTTATGACGTTCTACAGAGACAGTGCATGCAGGCTCCTTGGCTGATCTCTGCCCATTTGGAGGGCTATAGGAAGGAGGAAGCGGGCCGGAGGTTGGTGCAGTCTCAGCCAATCGGTGGGCGAGCTGGAGAAAAAAGCATCTTTGAGGACAGAGTGTGTCCCTCCCACCTGAGTCTGCAGCCCTCTGGCCAGTAGGCTACAAGGAGGTGTTTTCCAGCTCGTCATTTCCGGGAGCGTCTGCTTATTCTGTCTCCCCATGAAGCCTGCTGTCCAGACAGGTGGCAGAAGAGGAAATAGAGCTTCTCCTTTTGCCTCTGAAGCTCGAGAATCCTGGACGGGGGCCAGATGATTTTTCTTCATCGATTTGCGTGCTCTGTGGCGCGGCCCACTGAGAGGTTCATCTGGCAGCTCTGTCGCCGGCCCTGAGTCTCCTTCACCCATGGCGAGCAGCGGGCATCAATCCTGCCCCACAGGTGTCGTCGCCGTCCCAACCTAATGGGTCTCCCGGCACTCTAATGCCTCAAGGAGCAGCAAGGGGAGATTAATTCATCTTCATACTCTTAAACAGCCTAAGGTCTCTCTCGTGCTGAATGTGAATGGAGGATCCCTGGGAGCAGAGGGAGGGGGCTGGTGTTGTGGTGATGTAACAGCCGCAAGGGGGCTGCATTTCCTTACAACCCCCCCCCGCCAAGAGCACAAAAAAACAGATTAAATTTTAGCTCCCCCCCCCCCCCCCCCCCAACACCCCACCCCAACCAATTGTGTAACTGCAGTCGCAAACACAAAGACTTGTGCCGGACAATGCGTTCCTGACAGACCCGGGAACAGGGAGACGGGTCTTGGTCTGAATGTAAAATCGGCCAGTTCTGGTCCCCTGCTGGCCTGGCCAATCATGTTGCAGAATGAATGCAGGTGACCATGTGCCTCTCTAAGAGTCTAAGCTTTTAAGATTCCAGGTGCTGATTACTTTGTATGAAGACCCAGAAAATAAGAAGAGCAGGAGTTCAGCCAAATTGTCTATTATCTGGCTTTTTTTGTGTCTTTCTGTTTATGAGAATTCTAAACCCTCTATCCATCCACACTAGTGGGTCTGCTGTTCAACATTAATTAATCGTGCCAAGTTTCACACATCATAGAGCAACTGCTTACAGTATTCCCTGACATGTTCCCTACGCAAAATATTTCAGAAAATGTCAAGAAACCCCAAAAGCTTTTAATTGCAAAACTGTCTGAATTTTTGACGTGTACGCATTTGTGTTGACCTTCAGTTTGAGCAATTTCTCGGTTGATCAAATTACAAACGACCAACCCAGAAGCCGACCCACTGGGAAAGTATAATGGGATTAGCATTCTTTGGCAGCTATCGCCAGTAATAACACCAGTATTGTAATACCGTATTGTGTGACTTCAGCCGTTTTTTTTCCCCTATTCATTGTTAAAGGACATATTTCTAGTGACACCAAAATGTATTCAGCTTAAAAGTTTAAAAGAACCAAACTTCTAACAGTGGTTTTCAATGTGCTCTTCAGCATTGAAGTTCACCATTTATGAAATGCCCTGGAACTTTCTATCTTGCCAAAATGTTATTTAGTAGATTAGCGTCTGGTATATCTTTAATATGACTGTCAGTGTGAAGGCTGACTGATTTTTTTTTTTGGAGGGTTGATGCAATAAGGTGTTTGGAGCCAAGCCAGACAGACGGGAAAAATGTCCTTAAATGATCTCCGAATGCTCCCGGAGAGCTCTTTTGTGTGCCTAAGTGATTTTGAAATCAGAGTTCCCTGTCTTGGGTCCACGGGCATGATTCCAGTTGTCCCTCTGCAGGCAACACCAAAGGCAGCTAACACACTGTAACCCGAGGACCCTGTTTCCTGAGCGCTGGCCTTATCCTGGCTCAGAAGAGCTGGATCACCTCTTCCACACTACGGTGCGTCAGATGCTACGAGTTTGTGTGCCTCCTTTTTGCCCTTGCATTAACCTTGTCATGTCTGAGCCTCAGATGGACCGACGAGAGCATTTTTCCACATGAACCTCTGGTACAGGAGTGACACAGATGATGACTCAGACTTTGGCAGCACAGCTTCATGGGACAGATTTCCTGACTCGGCAGCAAAGGATGGGCAGAGACTCCGCCATCTTCTGCTATGTTTATTTGATGCTTTTGTATAAAGTGACCATTATGGCTTGTCAGTAGCGCTTTGAGTTTTACTGGTGCAGCTCGACTTAAAGACAGGGTCCTATGGCAGGGCTGCCGACTGGGGGCTTCCTGCATCCTGTGCCAGTTGATGTCCTGAAATGTCACATCTCCTTGTTTCCCAGGGTCTGTCTGTCCCCGTTTGCTACTCCATGATTGCTGCGTGTTATACAACTATCCATAAATGTACCAAACCTCTCGAGAAACCAGAAGCATGCGTGCGTTCACTTCATTCGCTTCTGCTGAGGAAATGTCTTGTCTATTAATGTGGTCATTCGTGTGATGAGGCCAGCCGTCGAGCCCCCCCCCCCCCCACCATCCTGGGTAATGGATTCAGCGTGGATGTCCCCCCAGCTAGGAGATTTCACCGCTTGTAGTCCAGCTCCGGGAACAATCTTGCTTGGATCCTCCATCTGCTCTCCTTGTCCCAGACATATGCCGGCGCATGTGTGGCCCCGGGCCCCTGATTTATCACCAGGGAAGGCAGAGCCAGCCGCTGGCCTGCGTGATTTGTTTGGCTCCCGGACAGAGACGATTGGCAGCGTGAGAGAGAGGGGTGTGCGGTAGGAGGCGGCGGTCTGAGAGGCAGGTCGCCTCACCCGGAGATTCGGCCCGAGCAAAGCCGACAGGTCCGTAGCGGAAAACAAATGATGTTTGTCGATGTGGAGTTAAATCCAACTCTGAACTTGACTCGGGGGAGGAGGAGATGTGAAGAGGGGGAGACGGCCAGCCTCTTAATCCAGTCGTCGGTGATGTATGAATTCAGGCCAATTTAATTTCCAAAATCAAGCCGAGCGAAAAGGCATCGAGGGCTTCAGAATAGGAGGGAAGCCTGATGGATGCAGATCAATTCGCCTGTGGAACCGACCCTCTTGCTCGAGCCCAATTAATAATTTAATTTGTTTATTTTGTTTTTCTCCTGCTGTTTTTCCTGCACAAACGGCTACTGAGAAGGGAAATGGGAGGAAAAGCGTTTTAAAAAATCAAAAGGCTTGGACGGTGCTGTCTGGCCTTTTCATTGTGGAATCAATGGCACTTCTGATATTTTCATGTATAGAACGAGACGCGTCCTCCGGTCAGAGGCAGACGCAGCGAGGCAGGAGACATCGTCAATAATCACTGAATGTCACGGAAAGGTGAAATGATGAGACCGAGGGTGGGACGACGCAGTGCCTGCGCAGAGGCGGGGGGGGGGGGGGGCAGACAGCATGCAGCACGCTGCCCTCGGGCCCGGCACAGGATCGACTGTTGACCTCCTAACATGAGGTTTGACGTGTTGTCATACTCGTAAGCAAGTGTCTAGAGAGCTGATAACACAAAGAGGATCATTTCTTCCACACGGCAACACCAAAAAAAAAAATAAAGAGAGACGTTTGCACTATACTGATTTCCTGGTTGTTTGCTCATGTGTCTTCTCTTGGCACATGCAGCGATTAGTCATTGCCAGTTTTTGGGTGGAGGGGGGTGGGGGGTCAAAAAACTTTGTCACCAGTAGGTGGCGCCCAAAGTATTCTGCTTCCTTGGGGGCATACGCACAGCTAATGATCTACCAAGGAGTTGCGCTGATTCAAAATGGCTTAGTAATAGTAATTAAACAATTGCTTTTCTTTTGTCACATGATGAAGAGTGTTGTGTGTTGTTAATGGATACCAGCTTGGATATGGGATCCTGAAAGATACATATTTTCGTTAGCAGATGTTCCAGCTGAAGGAAGAACAGCCGAATATGTACGTTACTTTGTAATTTGCCTATATGTTGCAGATCATTTTTAGTATAATGACCTGTCTGAAAGGAGCTGAGTTAGCGTCATATAGAGCTGCCTATCTCGTCCTTAGTAAATATGAAGAGTGTATGTTCAACAGGATTGGTCACTCACATGTCTGCAGACATTCTAGCTATTCTAAATAAAAACCTTGTACTTTCTCTGTTTCTTCTCTTCTTTAGCAAAGGAACACAGATGCATGCATTTTGTTACTGTATTTACTGTAATGTTCATGCAGCTATCGATTGCAGTGTCTCCGAGATTCGCCGCCTGGCAGGAATAATCCCTTATCGTTTTGTCCCGAAATGCCAGTGGAACCCATGGAACAAATGTGCGAAATCCTCAGAGACCAAGCCTGTTCGTTAAATTGGCCGAATTTCTGTTTAATGGGAAATATTTACGACACAGTGGCACAGGACTTCCAGTTATCCCATATGACACGTCTGCGGGGGCTGGGAGGGTGAGTCTGCGTCGAGGAGAAAACCTTGAGTCAGCTCAATGTGGCGTAAATGTGGCCGATAAAGAAAGGCCTTTTTCCTCCAGTGTTGATTTGCTTTCGGATCCCTTTTTTCCTGTTTCCTCCTGGGACGTTTTTATTCAATATGTGTCACAAGTGACATTGTTCTTCAGTGCAGCCTGCTTCTAGAGAGGGACAGGAGAATACGTGTGCGAGAAAGTGAGTGAGGCAGGAACGGAGGGAGGGAGAGGGCCCGCAGCGACGTGGATCTGAAAGGCCGACAAGCTTGGGTCTGGGGTCCCCAGTGGCTCTGAGCTCCCGTCTCCAGTAGCTGTGTTCCTGCTCACTGCCTCAGCCTTTTGTCTGCCGTCCTTGGCAGGCCTGCAAAGAGCCCCAGTCCCCTCCGTGTCATTCAAGGGGATAGAATAAGACATTGTCTTCATTAAGCAGGCCTTGTTTTAGGGCTCTGGGCCCTGAGACGGGGGCGAGGGTTCTGGCTGAGGGGGAAAGGGGGCTGGCAGATGAAGGAGGGGCACCGGGGTAGCCGAACAGAATTTTCAAGTGAGAGACTCTTTGTTGGCTTCTGTTTTATGGTTTGTTACTGTGGAGATTCATATTCAAATGGGCCGAAGGCTGTGAATCGGCCCTTCGCACATTCTCAGGCACCCCGGACGCTCGTGATTGTAGCTAATTACAATGACGGATGAAATCCCGAAAGAGCCGTCTCAATCAGATTGGCGGTCATGCGTGAAGAGGCGCGGGGCCCGGCCAGCGGAGGGGCAGGCTGTTCCAGAGGGCTGCCAAGGAACGGGTAAACGGGGGAGGGGGCTAGGGAAACACGTCGCTCGCCAGGATGACCTCAGATTAATCACCGGAGACCGGCGGTTCACACTGCCCACCCCCCCCCCCCCCCAGCCCCCGACCTGAGTGCTGGGGGCTCAGCGTCCTCACCAATGAAAGTGCTGCTCTGCTCTCAGCATGTTTCTCACGGCCGATGACATATCGGAACAACGTGGCAGGGGGAAGAAAACATCCACAGTGTGCAGTTTCCCAAGGCTGAGGCTGTCCAGCCGTGGATAGCATGGCCATCTTGGTGATAAAGAGAAACAGAGAGTTTTTGTGCTCCTGAGGTGCCGTGTGAAGGGACAGCCCCACAGCCCCACAGCCCCCGAATTGTGGTTATTGAAGGTTACGGAGAGGTTGATGGGTGGATGCAGTGTGATGATGTGGGCCTGGGAACAAAGTGCGGATACTCTCTGTGTTTTGC